AACAATAAACTCGCAAGACTGCTCGCGACTACTAGTGGTTGGCTGGGTTGTTTTGGTCGGAAAGGAGAAATTTTCTCTGTGAATTGATTCTCGAACGAGATAAAGAAAGCTCCTAATGACTCAAGCAACTGTATACCGTTTTTATATTTTTAATAAAACCAATTTCTTCTAATTTTAATACGTTTTACCCTGATTTTGTGATAAGTCGTTATCACGCATGTGCTAAATGCGTGACACATTTATGATCTCGCATGTGTTTCTGCAAAATGCGTTTCATCCAATATCACTTTGAAGTGATGCGTGACGGTTGGTAACTATGGCATAGATAACTGCCGGGCCATAGGTAAAATTGGTAAAAATTCACCTGATCGGACATAGAGACAGAGTCTCTAGTGGGGTCTACTCAGGCTATTCTGAGGCTTTTTAAAACAGATACGGTACGGCATTAACGCTCAGAAATATCTAAAAAATATTTTGTTTAAAAATTTAAAGAATATTGAGAACAAACTATGGTCAAGTCATGTTTTCGTTTAGGGCCTATTAAGCATTTCATGAATCTATGACATATTATAATATTGACAACATCAATAGAACATATAGGTGGAATTGTGTCCAACCCGTCGTGAAAATGTACTGAATACTCAGTACATGTGAAAACACTTGCAAAAATAGTAATCGCTGCTTACTTTGGCTCGAATTCAACCCTGGCCATCAGGTGTAAGCTCGGTGGTCTAAAGGCATGATTCCAGGCTAGTGATCTGGAGAACGTGGGTTCGAGTCCCACTGGAAAACTTGCAAATATTTTTTGCAAGTGTTTTCACACGCACTGAGTATTCAGTACATTTTTACGACAGGTTGGGAAAAATTACACATATAGGCCCTAATTGTTTCTCCTGGCGCAAATGCAGGTATTGTTATTCCATCACGATAATAATTACGGTACCATTCAATAATACAACAGTCATCGACCTACTTGCAGTGATTGAATCTAAAATGTATTCATGAAGTTATGATGATATGAAGTGTTTAAAAACATACCGTACGGTACACAATAATAGTTGAACCAACTTTAAAATACCACAAATACAAATGTGCGTGACGATATTTTATTGCTATAGAAATATGATTTCAAAAAGTGTATTAGTGAATCACGCACTGAGTATTCAATACATTTTCACGACAGGTTAGGCAAAATACATATAGGCCCTAATTGATTCTCCTGACGAAAATCCAGGTATTGTCTATTTCATCACGATGATACCGTAACAATTACCATTCAATAATAGAACAGTCATCGACCTACTTGCAGTGAATTGAATCTAAAATGTATTCATGAAGTTATGATGGTATGAAGTGTTTTAAAACATACACAATAATAGTTGAACCAACTTTAAAATACCGCACTGAACACAAATGTGCGTGCCGATATTGTATTGCTTTAGAAATGTGATTTCAAAAAGTATATTAGTCCATCGTATACGTAAGGGCTTGTATTGTTGTTGTTTTTTTATTACTTGCAGCGTTTGGGAAATAGGTAAATTGTAATGAATATGATCAATAACTATAGCCTCTAGAAAACCTAATATTATTGAAGGGTCCTTTTAAAGTTTGAATAGGATTTTTTTAAAGTTAAATTTTTAGATCATTTTACCTATTGAACGAGCCCCCAATAGCCCCGCGCCATGACATGAGTAGATTAGTGGTACGTTACATAACGTTTGCTATGCACTGTATCATGCGATATAGAAGTGGAAGACCATAATATATTGGGAATGTACCTCTCTATCTCTGGTAGGGCCTACAGTACAATGAACACTAAAAGTGTAAGGTATAGGATAGTGTGGATTTTTAAACATTTTTCTAATGGTAATGTTCAAAATAAGTGTCAAGGAAAGTATGATTGTTGGAAAAAATGGTCAACATTTTATTTTGAATTCTCACCCTGACCAAGTCGCCTGGGCGAAGTGGGCGAAGGTCTGGATCGGCGTCTAGTTAGCATGAATTTTGTAAGCCAGGACCCATAGTATTTTGTTACGTTTCTTCACAGAGGGGCCCCCCCCCCCCGAAGCCGCCTGGATCCGCCACTGTGATACTAGAAATACAAGATAGAGTTCTCCACACAAAAGAAGTGTTCCACCGTGTTCCACCGAAATGCATGGTGGGAATACGAAAAATGGGACGCCCCCTACAGCTGGATTAAAAAAAACTTGTGCCAAACTTTAGTTACCAAGTCGTCGCGTATTTTATTATCAATTCTCAACAAAGATACTAGATATAAACAAACTGGAATAGACACCCAGACAGTGACATCGGTGAATACATAACCTCCTTGGTGGCGGTAGAAATCGTTGCTATTATCCAAATAATACACAAAACAATTAAAGCATAATCATGAATCAGTAAAGAATAAAACAACAACACAGCGCAGAATCGCATGGCCGGACGCACACTTAGAGAAAAATTTTTCCTCCATTAGTGGAAAAGGAAGGGCGCCTTTTGCGTCTGGATATACTTAGCAACAGAAGGGCGCCCTGTACGTTGGGCACGAAGTATAGGAAACTTGCATGGTTAAAAAGAAGGGCGCCGACTACGTTGGGCACGACTTCCGCCTCATTTTTACAATGCGAGAACTCTATCTTGTATTTCTAGTATCTTTGCTGTGCTTAGAATCAAATATAGAGTTTAAGCTAACAAAAACAACACATCCAAAACAAGTCTAAGCCTGTATTGAAAAAAAATGTAAATTCAAAAATTCGGCCAAATATAGTTTGGCCGTGACTTTTCAAACGTTACGGCCAGGCAAATTTTAATACGGCCAGATTTGAGGAATCTGGCCGTCAAAAAGGTCAAATGGCAATTCTGGTGCCCATTTACTAACGTGGCAACACCGGTGAGTACTGGCCAAGGACTTTTAAAAGCATGCCTGCATCACACGTGCCGATCACATTCAACAACATACCAGAACGAATGGGTCAATGGGGAAGTCCCTATTCAAACCACGAATGGCCTGAGATGTAGGTCTTCGCGGATTGGTTATAATATGAGATGACATCATTTTCCAACCGGTAATGCTCTGTCTGATTGGATAGATTACTTTCGTGTGCGTGAACAGTCTAGACAAGGCTTTTGGATGTAGCCATTTGATAAATAGGTAAACTCTATTTTAACTAACTATTTATTTTAATGTGTTTATAGAAAATTTCAATACATTCAATCATTTTTTGTTACAGAATATAACTATTCTATAACTAATGTGTTACTTAATATCTTAAGTAAGATATATTACTGTATTTCAGATATAAGCCCCTATAGGCAAACCCATTTTTGACCTTTTTAAGTCGTTCGATATCATTTTTGTGGACGCTAAATATTTCGCAAGGGATCGAGAGAATTCTGTATTTTATTTGGTCGGTCAAAGAGTTGGGGCGGTATAGTTCTCGTTATGTTTTCTTCCGTCGTTTTCCAATCTAAACATTTTGCTGCTTGATGGATGGTGTTAAGAAGTTTTCAATTCGGTTTGTTTAGTAAGTAGTATATTACCTTGTTTTTACCTTAGCCTACCGGTAGGGGACTAGCCTAGTTGTTGTTGACCTGTCCTGAGTTCTTGTTATGACTCTGAGACCGGTAAATTAGCCGGTGGTATCACTCAGTCAGATTAGGCCTGCTGTTGTTCCCATCTGCAGGAGGAAGACTTGACTTTCGAGAGGCCTATGAGATGAGGCTCACCTATGCTAGGCTAGAGTTTATTTTTTTTGTTGGTAGTGTAGACACTAACCCAAATATATATATAAATATGATTAAGTTAGTAGATTTCAGTAATTTTAAAGACATGGCCTGGGATTTATGGATTTAGACGAATTTAAGTGTTTTTTTTTATGTAAGTTTGCTAAATCCACTCTTTGAGCAGTAGCCGTTATAAAAACAGAAAATGTAGCTTTCGCATTATCGTGTACATTGAAAAATTTATTAATCTGTCTCTTATACACATCTAGATGTGTATAAGAGACAGGGCCTAGTTACTTAAAGGCTGTGTAATGTCAAAAAGTCCTCACCATCCATCCATCCAACCTATTGAATCAGAATTGTTGTGCATAGCCCACCTATTTTAAATTTAAACTTGCCCAAAATTTCAGAATCATGTACTTGAAAAGTTTTTGTTATTTATTGAATTTAAAATTTATTTCAGGTGAGAAAGATACATAGAAAAGATGCCAGTAGATGCTATGATGCTGTTGGTGAGCTCAAGTCCACCATCATTTAGTTGTTCAACACTTCCTGCTTATTCTCACTATTCAACTTTTAACCAGAAAAGACAGTCAAACTTACAAATTCAGATGGCCCCACTACACAAAGCAGTACACAGTAATATGAACCTAACGGTGGGCAAGCCATTGAGGTCGTGTTTACGAATTCAAGATGTTCCATCTTCATCTCCTGCGCTGAATAAAGAAGTAGACCTGTCTCTTATACACATCTAGATGTGTATAAGAGACAGGTACTGGCAACTACGTGGCAACACCGGTGAGTACTGGCCAAGGACTTTTAAAAGCAAGCATGCATCACACGGGCCGATCACATTCAACAACATACCAGAACGAATGGGTCAATGGGGAAGTCCCTATTCAAACCACGAATGGCCTGAGATGTAGGTCTTCGCTGATTGGTTATAATATGTGATGACATCATTTTCCAACCGGTAACGCTCTGTCTGATTGGATAGATTACTTTCGTGTGCGTGAACAGTCTAGACATGGATTTTGGATGTAGCCATTTGATAAATAGGTAAACTCTATTTAACTAACTATTTATTTTAAAGTGTTTATAGAAAATTTCAATACATTCAATCATTTTTTGTTACAGAATATAACTATTTTATAAATAATATGTCAATTTGCTACATTTTAATATGTTAAGTAAGATATATTACTGTATTTCAGATAAAAGCCCCTATAGGCAAACCCATTTTTGACCTTTTTAAGTCGTTCGATATCATTTTTGTGGATGCCAAATATTTCGCAAGGGATCGAGAGAATTCTGTATTTTATTTGGTCGGTCAAAGAGTTGGGGTGGTATAGGCCTAGTTCTCGTTATGTTTTCTTCCGTCGTTTTCCAATCTAAACATTTTGCTGCTTGATGGATGGTGTTAAGAAGTTTTCAGTTCGGTTTGTTTAGTAAGTAGTATATTACCTTGTTTTTACCTTAGCCTACCGGTAGGGGCCTAGCCTAGTTTTTGTTGACCTGTCCTGAGTTCTTGTTGACTCTGAGACCGGTAAATTAGCCGGTGGTATCACTCAGTCAGATTAGGCCTGTTGTTGTTCCCATCTGCAGGAGGAAGACTTGACTTTCGAGTGGCCTATGAGATGAGGCTCACCTATGCTAGGCTAGAGTTTATTTTTTTGTTGGTAGTGTAGACACTAAACCAAATATATATATAAATATAAATTTAGCTGTAAATAGAGTTTCTATAGAGTTTTTATTTAGAAAATTTAATTTGTTCTAAAGCATCTCAACAAAATTGGGAGGGAAATGGATGAAGCTAGGCCTACTAGTACTCTAGCCTAGGCCTCATATATACCTAATGAAAGCTATATATATTGTTTTGGTATGTACATACCTAGGTAGGCCTAGGCCTAGTTACTTAAAGGCTGTGTAATGTCAAAAAGTCCTCACCATCCATCCATCCAACCTATTGAATCAGAATTGTTGTGCATAGCCCACCTATTTTAAATTTAAACTTGCCCAAAATTTCAGAATCATGTACTTGAAAAGTTTTTGTTATTTATTGAATTTAAAATTTATTTCAGGTGAGAAAGATACATAGAAAAGATGCCAGTAGATGCTATGATGCTGTTGGTGAGCTCAAGTCCACCATCATTTAGTTGTTCAACACTTCCTGCTTATTCTCACTATTCAACTTTTAACCAGAAAAGACAGTCAAACTTACAAATTCAGATGGCCCCACAACACAAAGCAGTACACAGTAATATGAACCTTACGGTGGGCAAGCCATTGAGGTCGTGTTTACGAATTCAAGATGTTCCATCTTCATCTCCTGCGCTGAATAAAGAAGTAGACAATGGAATAAACGCATCAAAAACAATAAAAAAGAGTGTCTGCTTTGCTGATAGTAAAGGACTCTCACTCGCTTTGGTTAAAATCATGAATGAAGCAAGTGATATACCACCTATATTGAGTTCAGATGTCTTGCGAATGATAACACAGGATGTGGTACCGCATCCATCATTATCATATAAATACGTGCCAAGCTTTGATCAGCCTGCCTCAAATTATATAAGGTTTCGAGAACGATTGGAACATCAGAATGTCTGCCTTGAAAATATTGTTGTGAAGGATGACTTACTTGTTATGGGTACACTCAAAGTTAAAAACATCTCATTTGAGAAGGTGGTGTTCATTCGCACAACCTTTGACCAATGGAAGTCATTCACAGATTTTCCAGCCTCATTTGTGCAATCGTTCGGCAGTAACCTGCATAAATATGATACATTTTCCTTTGAATTTCATATGCCTACAAATCGAAGGATTGAACAATTTGAGTTCAGCGTTTGCTTTAGAAGCGATTCAACTGAGTTTTGGGACAATAACGATAATTTAAACTACAGGGTACAGGCTGAAGAATTAAGGGAAGGTGCACAGTCAGAAGCGAGGAGTTTTAGAAATTCTTACACAAGCCTTAATGGGAATGTTGACTGGTCTACATTCTCTTACTGGAAGGTTGGAGATGATGAGAGGCCTTACTGGTGACAGGCACTAAAACTTTGTTACTTAGTCTGACTACCAAAGATATTTGAAAACTAAAAAGTGCATGTCTTACTAAAAATAAATTACTGTATTAGATTTTTTTTTAAATTTATATTATGAATCGATGTATTTTTAATGAAGGATGAGTGATTGTTTTCAGAGAGGAACTGAATTATGTAACAGTACAAATGATTAAATTTGAGAAAGCTATTATTTTAGGCGAATGATGGTTTTGAGAGCTATGTTGAAGGTGTATTTTACATTGCTGCCCAACTACTGTATAACAAACACAAAATCTCAAAAATTTAGTCTAGGCTGCTTGTTGGTAAAAATTATTTTCCCCAAGGAGAATCCTGAATTACTTCACTTTTAGCCCAGTAGGAACGTCACTCTTCAGTATTATTTTATAGTGCTAAAATACACAAAGGTAATAGTTACTGTACCCATGAAAACCCTATAGTTTTGGCCCTTGTAGTTTAAAAGAGAAATATTTAATTGTATCCGTGCTTAGGCAAAATTGTTGGCCTTTACAGTACCCTTTATAAAGTGATTTTTTAAGCAAGTTTCATATAATTTTAATATTGTGTATCTTGTAATAATAATGTAGTGTACTATGTATACTGTACTGCAACCAAGGACAGGCTAAATAATTTTAACAATGTGTTTGTGTGAATGGATTAGCCCTTAGTTGAAAACACAATCCTGTTTATAGCTACATTGAATAAAGTGTATCTTTAACTTTCATTGGATTTTGTGTTAAATCCGGTTAGCTTACCTTGAGATGTCAAACGATAGCTTTTCTAGAGGACATTAAATAATTTCCATTCTAAATCATTAATCATTTTGTTGAATGTTAGGTGCTGCACCGAGGTGTACTTTTAACCTTTGTTTAAGAACAGACATAATCTATTATTGAGCTATCAGTAAGTTAGTAATTGAACTAACTTGTACAATTATTCGTCATCTTACTGTTAGGTATGTTTACGACTTGGGATACCTGTGTGTTTTTCTTTATCTGAAGAAGTTGGTAGTTTGCTAAAATATGTAATGCAACAATCATTACTTGTTGATTATACTGTAGGTAAAGTGTAAGATGTACAATCATTGAAGGTTGACTTGTGAAACAAAAATTTATTAAAATATAATAAAATAAACTACAATGGACATGAACTTGGGATTCTGAGATTGAAAGACGGGCACCACTGCGCTGGAGCACCATTCCACTCTTAAGCATGGCACATGATTTACCGATGGTGCTTTATTTAAGTGGTACAGTATTATATATACTGTATATAACTTCAGTTACAAGGGCCAGGGATATGCAAAACAGCGAACATATTCACTCTTATAAGTGAGAATGCCTTCACAAAACAAGCATATTTAAGATGCTCCTACTAACGTCTCTCATTATTGTATTTGGTCGTGAAAAAAAAAACCTGTTAACGTGATACTGATTCGTAGGAATTGAACGCCGGACAGGAAGGCAAGCATGTTAACCACCAAGCTATTCAACTCCAATCAAAGTAATATAAGCTGTCTCTTATACACATCTAGATGTGTATAAGAGACAGCACACACACACACACACACACAGGACATGTCTAGGAAACTCGAATCTAGAAACCCATATGGACAGTATTATAAATACAATCTCATTAAACGATCAGCTGACTCATTTTGTTGAAAATCTACAAACACAATATGCTGAAAATTTAAAGGAAATTGGTAATTTTTTTCTAAGATCAGGAATGAAATGCAATTTGGCACAACAGACACAGAGTACTTTTTTGAAAGCAATGCAACTATCAACTAGGGTAGTTAAGTTTCTAGTTTGTAGAATTTCATGTGGTTAATATCAGTGTTACCATGTTTTGCAATTAAGGAAAGTTAATCTATTACTGATACAGTTTTCTCTGTGTTAATTTAAGGATAGAGCACAAATTTAAGAATTGAATTGAGAATTTTTAAGCATCAACTTAAAAGTATGCTAATGTTTGAACTTGCCTACAGTTTAGCAGCGTTTTTACCTCTGAGATTCCCACACTGTGACACACTATTGTTGCTTTATTTATTTTAATCAGCTAAACTTGCCTAAATCGATTAATTTCGAAGTCGATCTTATTTTACATGCCAAATTGTTGAGTTTTCCATTATTTAACAATTTGTAAGTCAAATTTTAGTCTAACAATTTTTCAATGTCATTTTGCATTCGACTACTGTAAGGCAAATTCAACTGTATTTTGTTGATTTAAACTTCTAATACAGTATATTAGCAGTTGCCTTATATACTGTACACTGTAGACAGAATTAGTTTGAATTGTTTTTGTTTCTTTTATGTTTTTATTTTGGAGTGATATGATTTAATTTAGATAATGGTGAAAAGGGAAATTATGAATTATGTTTATATGACATGGAGGAATCCATTACTTGACAGAGTATTAAGAAAAGCAATAAAATATTTTATGATAGGAAAGTATATAATTTGTAATGAGTTTTTTTGCACTGTAAAACAATGAGTTTTTAATTACCTTTTTGATATTGTGTAAAATTAGCACAACTTAACCTTCGTTCCCATACAATAACTACACCCTATCACCGACAGCTTCCAGTAATGTTGGTAGATCGGTTCATCGGCAACTGCTACGCAGTACAACGATTGCACTGAAAACACCGTAGCAACAGTTTAGCAATTTATAAGGAAACCAGGCTTAATAATGTGTCATATTCAGAGATAGTTTGTAAAAAGTGGTGGCACCAGGATTTTCCCAATGGAGGGAGTGAGGGAAGGAGGGGGGTGGGGGGAGGCACTGTTCCAACCGGAGAAAAAGTGGGGTAGCCATAGAGGCAGCCAGAACTACTAAACTTGAAAGCATATGATTACTGAAACATGGCACATGGCATCTACGTTTTGATTGATGGAGGCTGTTGCAATAGAATGATGATCTCAAATTGAGTAAATTTAATTAGACTAACGATGACTATACCCATAGTAAAGCATCCTGGCAGGTCTGGGTTAACATTTGCATGCCACTGACCTGCTTGTGCAGGCAAGTGCAGAGGCCTTGTTAGTAGTTGGGTAGACTGCTACCCAACAGTTTGGACAACCCCTGTTAAAACTTAACATAGAATTGTTCGGTTTGGAACCAAATAAGTTATCAATTTTCAATACGTCACAGATTTTCATACTGCAATTTAAAATGATTAGCTGATGTCTTACCAGGAAAAAAACTTAAATTTAGGGATACTCTATTATGCAGACTATAGGAAAGGTATTTTTAAAAGCCGGTAATTGGGGGGTTTTTTTTCTCTTTCTATAATGTTCATTTAAAATATACTGTACCAATTAAGCATTTTTTTTTTCAAGTTGGTATTCGGTTTGTAAAACAGTACTGTATATCACTACCTAAAACTGGTACCAGCATGAAGGGTGATACTTAACTGAAGATTAAAATTTAAGTCGCAAGATAACGAGCGAGACTGATCTAATTTAATCCATACATTTACCATATGCACTACCAGGGACTTGTTATACCATAGAGAAACATTCGATGTTGCTGTTTAGCATAATGTTCCAGACACAAAGAACGTGCCTAGAAATGTTTCCAGGGGCCAGTTATTTATTGAGCTGCTGCGAGTATGGATTATATTCCATGCGTAAGTAACCAATACGTCATCGTGATCATTCAGTGTGTACATACAGAACGATCTATCTGCTTATGTGTTGCAACCACCAAGCTATTCAACTCCAATCAAAGTAATATAAGTAGCCAAATACTGTATATATTATGCAAGTATATAATTATAAAATATAAAGTAAGTATATTATGAGTATATATAT